GAAGGCTGAAGCTTAGCTTTAAGGAACTTCTAGCTAAATATGAGAAGATAGCAAAAACAAATGTCACCAATCGGCCAAAGAAAATTCAATTATCAAAATTGCCTCCAAAGCATAAGTCTCATGAGTGGAATTGGCAAGGAGATAGATCTCACGCAGCAGCAACATATTCTCCTTTTGAGCAGCCAATTACCATGTCATATGAACCACAGTCCGTATATTTTCATCCTTATTCATCTTGGAGCTGGTTTGATCAAGAGGCACATGTTTCACCATAATTTAGGCCACAATATATAGAGTATGCAGCTCCTAAACATTCAGAGAGATCATCATCTTGTAAAGACCATTTTGATCAAAATCGGTCTGGAGCTCAACCAAATAAGGAAGCGGTAAAGCAAGTTTACCGCGTGAAGTATGATGGCCGAAAGAAGAAAAGTTCAGATCTAAATTTAATAATCAAAAAGCCGATTACATCACTAAAAATCCGGCTATTGATGGCAAAGAAGTGAGGAAATCATCTATTAATATTCTAGGTGCCAAATCTGAACAAAAGAAGGAGAGAGTGCCCAAAATTAAGAAAGATTTGATGCTGTCCAAAACAGAAATTAAACTGATATGCTCAATCGGTTTACCAAAGTGACAAGAAAATAAGTTACATAAGCTTAGTGCAAAGAAGCTGAAAGAAAAAAGGCTTGGCATGGGTGCTTAAAGAAAGAATTCAATCTCAAAAGAATGATGCTCAAGCAAGTGGTGCAACAAAAACAAAGAAGAGGAGATTCAAGAAACAATTGCCAAATTGGAGGTTTGCACCAAATTATCAAAATCACTAGTCATGGCATCATCTATACTCTCTGCCTATGCCTCTGTGGAATTCATCCCCTGGTATGCATGGTTATCCCTCAACTCCTTATTTTGATCCTTGGTGTGGATCTTTATGTTATGGGGGGTTACCAAATTATTTTACTTACCAATGATCGAGAGCCGAAATATTTTGTTTCGGCTATGCATATTTATGTGGATGAATTCATATGGCTGATATTTTGATATCGCCCTTAGTGTAAAATATAGTCGATGGATACTTGCAACCATCGTGCTATTAGAAAGCCCCCCATGAAATTTACTTTGATGGCCTTAAGGCCTGGGGAGCATGATATATACATTTTGATATACTTCATGGATGTGACAATATGATTAGTCGGCTTGCAAATGAGGCCACGGTGTTGGCATAATCATTATTTCTCACAATGGTGCTATTGGAGACATCAAGCCGATTAAAATTATATATGCACCAATATTTGAGCCAAATGTGAAGTTTTCTTATTCGGCTTGGCCATATTGCAATCCATGGGGTATAACATGTTGAAGCCTATGGTGATTCCTTACTGGTGGTATATGAAGTTGCTAGTAAATTTCAATGTTTAGAAGGATCACTAAGAGCTTGTCTTGATGCTTGCCTTGATGTTATTGATTATTTTGCCGAATTTTGAATCCGGCATATTTCGAGGCATGAAAATCAAAAGACCAACATGTTAGCTTAACAAGCATCTAGCTATGATGTCGGTGAACATAATTTTTATATTTAAGAACAACCGATGCATGAAGATTTCAAATTTTCCTGTGTAGGTACAGACCAGTCGGCTAAGCCGACTGACCAAGTCAGCTCAGCCGACTACTCTTCTGCTGTGGCCAAGTAGGCTAAGCCGACTGCTCTAGTCGGCCAAGCCGACACCTCCAAATTGGCTAAGCCTACCGGCCCTGTTGGCTCAACCGACTTCCCTGTGACTAGCCCGGTCAATTCGTCCGAGAAGCTATCAAATCGCCCCGATATAACTTCTAGTGATGTTGGGGCCGATTTAGAAGATTGGAGGACTCCCTTGTTGAGATATCTACGTGATCCAAGTGCCAAAATTGATAAAAGTGTTCGGCGGAGCGTTTTCAAATATGTATTGCATAATGATGAGCTCTATCAAAGAACCACCGAAGATTTACTGCTTAAGTGCTTGGGATCAGATCAGGCAAGAGTGGCTATGGGAGAAGTCCATAAAGGCATATGTGGTATGCATCAATCGGCCCCGAAGATGAAGTGATTATTGCGTAGAGCTAGTTTCTATTGGCCTACTATGATAGCCGATTATTTTCGCTACTACAAAGGTTGCGAAGAGTGCCAAAAGTTTGAAATATTCAGCTTGTGCCTGCTGTTGTGCTTCATCCTATCATCAAACCATGGCCTTTTCGTGGTTGGGGGCTAGACTTCATTGGCCAAATACATCCCCCATCTTCAAAGGGACACCGATTTATGTTAGTTGCTACGGATTACTTTACTAAGTGGACCAAGGGAGTTTCTTTGAAGAATATGACACACAAGGAAGTAATTGAGTTCATCACTGAGCATATTATTCATAGATTCGGCATCTCTCAAACGTTAACTACAGAGCAAGGGACATCGTTTGTGTCCAAAAGAGGTGAGGGAATTTGCCAAATTATATAAGATCAAGTTGCTCAATTCATCTCCATACTATGCTCAAGCCAATGGCCAAGCTGAGTCTAGTAATAAGACTTTGATCAAGTTCATCAAAAAGAAAATTGAGGAGAATCCAAGGAGATGGCATGAAGTTTTGTATGAGGCTCTATGGGCACATCACATTTCAAGGCATGGTGCTACAAAAGTTACTCCTTTTGAGTTAGTATATGGCCAAGAGGCCGTGTTGCATGTCGAAGTGAATTTGGATGAATACATGCTTGCTAAACAAAATGATTTATCAGCTATTGTGTATCATGATTTGATGATGGATAATATCGATGAGGTGACTGATATGAGATTAAAAGCTCTCAAGGAAATAGAGAAAGATAAAGCTTGAGTTGCCAAAGCATACAACAAGAAAGTCAGGAGCAAATCCTTCCAAGTGGGAGAATTTGTGTGGAAAACCATACTACCAATTGGATCGAAGAGCAATCAGTTTGGCAAGTGATCACCGAATTGGGAAGGTCCTTACAAAGTGGTCAAAGTTATATTCAGAAATTCATATGTGCTAAAGACATTGCAAGGTGAACGTCTCACGAGAGCATTTAACGGGAGGTACTTGAAAGGGTATTTTACAAGTGTTTGGCAAGAAGCCTAAGTGCTCTTCAAACAATGGCCGATACATGTATCGCCCTTAGAAAAAATGGCGGTACATACATCGCCCTTAGTCACTAAGCAGCCGATGAGATGGGTATCATCGTTGTTTGGTTTTGAATAAGTGTTTTCAGGTTCATGCATTATTCACCTGAAAAGGGGGGCATATGTTGACAACCAAAAATGTCCATTTTATGAAGTTGTCAAAATATGAAATGGACTTCACCATTGCGTTCCTCTCATCGAGACGGTTAAAAAACATATATGGAACGTCTAATTCAAAGTCCGGATGAAGAAGTTATGCCCTCGGAAAGATGCCTCGTTGTCGGGAGTTTCGACCCAAGTCGGGACTTCTGACTATCAAAAGTTCCGACGGGTGTCGAGACTTCTGGGAAGCCTGAAGAAATCTGCTCGGGTGTCTGAGGTTATCCCTACGTCGGGAGTTCCGACCCAAGTCGGGACTTCCGATATACCTTATAGAAAATCATGTTCGGATCTGGCCTTTTGGATTCCGATCCGAACTGTTCCAAACTCGTGGGAAGCTTGAAAATAAGGCTTGGAGAGGTTTCCTACTAGGATAAGACCACCCCCTCTATATATATGAGAGGATCATGGCCGATTGAGTTACCATCTATCCAATCAACAATCAAATCAATCTACTACCTCTACTCCAACCCTTTTACCCTCTTCTCCAACCTCCATGCTGTTCATCCTTTGATCCGACGACCAAGGATGGTGCCCTAGACTTGCCGGCCGACCTAGGGCAACCCGACGACGTCCTTGTCCTGACGGGGTCCCTCCCGGGCGAGAGCTTCGACGGTTTCTTTACTAGTTTGCCTGAAAACTAGCCGGATCTTCTCACGTAAGCATGTTGGTTATCATTTGGTGGTTTGCTTGTAAACATCTCTCCGTTCTTCACCATGAAAGAGTGACATCCTCGCTGCGTTCTTCGGTCCATAGCGGCCCGGACGTCCAAGGCCCTATTGGTGTTTGATTCGGATCACTTCCGACGTCAACACCTCCTTAATGAAAAGCTTGCGTATTCGAGAAAAAAAGAAGTGTCATCTTGATACATGTCCCTCAGTCCTGGTTGAGACCAAAGGGATTTTGTGCCCTCACTAATTAAGAAACGACTTCTCTTGCCGAACACTGTATCTCGAAGCAAGCTATGACAGTGCCAGAATTCATATGCATGTCTTGAGATTGACAGCGAACGTGGTTGATGACAAAGCTACCGAAACTAGATATGGGAAGAATCGAGCTTTGAACTATTTAGGATGTCCTGTGGATGCGGGGCATCTGGACTAGAGAATGGTGCATATTAAGTCAAGGTTCTAATTTCTAAATGTGCGAAGCTTGGGGGGAGTGCAAGTTAAATCTGCAAATTTTGCAGGGTGTAGTGGAACTAGGATATACGTATGTTGCCAATATATGAACAGGGATGTTGGGAGCGTTTTGTTGTAGGTGCCCATCGTAGCGGCATCGATCATGTCCTATATATATACACACGTGTATATATGAAGAAAAGGGATTAAGTTCCACCAGCAGTACATCAAAGGACAATTTTTGTGGATTACAAAAATATAAAATCAAATCTTAAGGTTACAACATCTTGTGGGTTGGACGCATGGAGGGGCAATGTCATAGAACAGGGATACTTGTTTCATTTTTCTGCTAAAGATGCCATGGTTTGCGATTAGAATAAGGGACAACAGGATCAACAGTAAACAAAATGCAAGTTACAATCGTTCCCGTTGAAAATGAAGTTCTGCATAAATAGCAGAAAAAAGGAAACTTCATTTATTTTTTCCATTTTCCCGGATCGGAGAAAAAAAGAAGGAAAGAAAGTCTATATGACGGTGAAAAAAAGAAGGAAAGAAAGTCCTTCATGGGCTGCTTTGATCTGCTGCACTCCGCCATCAACATCAGTCCGATCCTCCTCGGTCGGAACCTTGAGGATGTGATCAAGCCTAACATAGCATCCCTACATCAGTGCGGTCTAACTGCCTCTAATGTTCTAGAGTTCGCAATGCTGATATGCATGAAACCCGAGGATGTCAGGGAAAGGGTGGCATGTGCTGAGAAGCTTGGTGTGCCGCGCAATACAGGGATGTTCACGAGCGCCCTGTGGGCTGTCTGTTGCGTTGGTCCCAACTCCATTGGTGCAAAAATGGATGTCATGAAGGCGACTCTTGGATGCTCCGAGGCGGAGCTGGCCCTTATAGTGTGCAAGTCACCCCAAATTCTGAGGATATCAGAAGGCAAGCTGAGTCGCACAGTGAAGTTCCTGAAGGTGGATGTTGGGTTGAAGCTTCAGTACATCTTGCATAGGCCAGCAATACTTGGCTATAGCATGTAGAGGCGGCTGATGCCCAGGCATTATTTCATCAAGATTCTGAAGGCGAAGGGGCTTGTGAAGGAAAACATTGACTTTTATTATACTATTTGTTTAACTGAGAAAAGATTTGTCCAGAAGTTTATTGATCCTTACAACAAGAGTATTGCAGGGCTTGCAGATGCTTATGCTACTGCTTGTGCTGAGAAAATGCCTCATGAAGATGAGGTGCATTCGCAGCAGCATGCTAGGGATACTGAGAAGCAAAGGCAAAGATAGTCGGTCCAGGTCTTCTCTGCCTGTACTTTGAACAGCCTCTTGCCGAACTATTGTGCAGTTCCGTGGTGCACACCAATGCTTGCAACAGATGCTGCCTTTATGTGCTGAAATGAAATTAGTTCTTCCTTTGTGTGCTGAAATGAAATTAGCTATAGATATCTCATATCTGGATGCATTTACTTTATCCTTGTAAAAGAACACCTAGTTTTGCGGCATGAATTCAGTACCACTATTTTAGTATATTTATTCCAAGACCTCACTGCCGTCAGTCGGAATTTGATTTGCTTTTTTGGTGAACACAGCTTTTACTCTTGCATAGCCTCCCTCTTTTATGTCAATTAGTTACTCTTACACCTTTGTATTCCTCCTCAGTGAAGTCCCTTATTCCTCTTTGTTGTAGTTATTACGAAAACAGGAAAATGAATGTATCCTTATAGCCTTATAGGATTTCTTATTATTTCATTTTTGGTTTTGGTTAATGATCTGAACTAAACGAAAACATATTGGATTGGCTGTTCTGTTAAGGTCTATAAACTGACCCCCGATTACTAAGTTCAATCTTTCTGCAGTGTGCAGTGCATTACAGTAGAAAACTGCTAACATTTTTTTTGCTTGGGCATCGATTTTAATTTTGGTTTCTTTCATCATGGAAATATATATTGAGTTGGTTATTTGTCCTTGTTTGGTGAATTTTTAGGATGTTCGTTGATATCACTATTTGGTATTTGGCTATGCCTCCTTTGGTAGACGATGAGACTTACATCTCGACGGTCTCGAATTAAAAACATGAAACATGTGAACATCCGGCAGTCCAACCACTAATGCTCATGAAAACGATAATGATCATAGTTTTATGCCATTTTTAAATAGAAAACAGATACTTCAGACTGTCATGATGCAGCGAAAAGGCATATATTGAAACTATAGTTAAAAGTTAAGTGTCATCCTGATACCCCGGGAGGTCTGGTTCTATGTCTGCCAAGCGCTCGGACAGAACCTTCCGCAGCAGAAGCAATCAACCATCACTTGGTGGAGGCAGCTGCGCTCAACAATGAACGGCGAGCAGAAGGGCGGGATGGACTCCCTCTTCGCGTTGGTCTCCTGGTACGTCTGGAAAGAAAGGAATGCCCGGTGTTTCAGAGAAGCTGCAAGCACGACATTCGACCTCATCCAGATCATACATGCAGAGGCTCAGTGCTGGATTGAGGCAGGAGCCAACGGGTTGGCTAGCTTAGCGCCAGGAAACTAGGACCAGCGCTTAGCTAAGCATCTTATTGTTCAACTTTCATGTAATCGCTTATGATGTTCTGCTCCAGCCGCAAGGCATCTTGTAATATAACTCCATCCTCGTTAATGAAAAGCTTGCGTATTCGAGAAAAAAAAGAAGTGTCATCTTGATACATGTCCCTCAGTCCTGGTTGAGACCAAAGGGATTTTGTGCCCTCACTAATTAAGAAACGACTTCTCTTGCTGAGCACTGTATCTCGAAGCAGGCTATGACAGTGCCAGAATTCATATGCATGTCTTGAGATTGACAACGAACGTGGTTGGTGACAAAGCTACCGAAACTAGATATGGGAAGAATCGAGCTTTGAACTATTTAGGATGTCTTGTGGATGCGGGGCATCTGACTAGAGAGTGGTGCATGTTAAGTCAAGTTGCTAATTTCTAAATGTGCGAGGCTTGGGGGGAGTGCAAGTTAAATCTGCAAATTTTGCAGGGTGTAGTGGAACTAGGATATACGTAAGTTGCCAATATATGAACAGGGATGTTGGGAGCGTTTTGTTGTACGTGCCCATCATAGCGGCATCGATCATGTCCTATATATATACACGTGTATATATGAAAAAAGGGATTAAGTTCCACCAGCAGTACATCAAAGGACAATTTTTGTGGATTACAAAAATACAAAATCAAATCTTAAGGTTACAACATCTTGTGGGTTGGACGCATGGAGGGGCAATGTCATAGAACAGGGATACTTGTTTCATTTTTCTGCAAAGATGACATGGTTTGTGATTAGAATAAGGGCCCGTTCGTTAGGCCGGAAAAAAAGTCGTGTTCTGTCTGGACAAAGCTTACACAAATTAAACACCCGATCCTGGCCGGATTACATCCTGGTCATGGTTCGCCAGGAACCGAACAGGCCCTAAGGGACAGCAGGATCAGCAGTAAACAAAATGCAAGTTACAATCGTTTCCCGTTGAAAATGAAGTTCTGCATAAATAGCAGAAAAAAGGAAACTTCATTTATTTTTTCCATTTTCCCGGATCGGAGAAAAAAAAGAAGGAAAGAAAGTATATATGACGGTGAAAAATTGAAACGGGCGAAAACTGCCTCTTATCCTGAAGCAAAGCAGTAATCTATATACCGACTGGTAGGTTGTTGTCACAAGTGCCAATTCCTTGGACCATCCAGAGTTTAAAGTCTTCCATGATTCCATGATTTATCCGCAAAAGAAGTTCACTGCATGTTTCATTCAACAGTTCAGCGCCGTGTTAAACTTGTAACCAGCTGTATTAACTCCCTTGTCTGAAACGGCTTGACCAGCTCGCTGCCTGCTGCCTGCCTTTCTGTCTCCGTCTAGAGCGCATGCATGCCCCGTCTTCGCGTGGTTTATTGTTGTTGTTGATCCCTGTTTTTTTCTGCACTGCGTGCACGTAAAAGTCAGGCAGAAGGACATCCATTTCTTCTCTCCTGCCGACCTCCCAAGTTTATTTCTATAGACTATAGGAACTGCTGACATTCTGAAGGAGGAAAAAGAAATACCCGGGCATTTGCTAATCAACTCTGAGTTTGGCATTTGTTATTGGGACCATCTATTAAGTATTAATCGGTGTCATACTGTACAAATTCAGGTAGCACTTGAAATTTTAAACAAACCTTCTTGCAAGAAGAAGCAGATGAATAGAAAGTTTTAACAAAGCTACTTCAGCTTCATTCTGGAGTCTGGACCATGAGCACAGAACATCTGAGTATCTGACGTACGATGGTTGCAGCCTTTCTTCACTTACGCGTTGTTCAGCCATTCGAACATTTGGATCCCATCCAAGCTTACACATACTGTATGTGGTTGAACAAAGAAGAACAACTCTTTCTTGCGACGGCATGGAGAGCAAGCTGAACTTAGTATAGTATTTATTACTTTGATCAATCGTGTACGTTTTGAGGTGGAGCATGTGAAATTCACTCCATCGAATTCGCGCCATGCTAGTATTCAAAACGTGGTACCTAATTCTGAAGCAAAACGCATGACAAATCTGGTAAAATGCATACCAACAGAAAGGATCAGGGCTAGAAAGTAAAGCACGAGTGCACAACTTGGTAAAGGGCATATATACAGAGAAGAAACTTCAACTTCTGTTCAGACATCTCTACCTGTAGGTTACGTTTCTGCTCCTGTACAAAATTACAAACAGCATCTGCACATCTCGTGTTTTCATTCAATTTCAACCGAATTTGGAGCACTACCACACGTTGATCCCAGCAACGAAATCAGCACCCCGTTCCCCGCACATCAAAAGGCCCATTTCTTTCGCGTGTGAGAGAAGATCACTTTCAAGCTAGTTTGCCCAGCTAAAAAAAAACTTTCAAGCTAGTTTCTACAGCACGTTCAAATCTGCTGTTCCCATTCTACGTGCGAACCTGCTGCGTAGCTGCCTTCTTCTCCCTGTCCGCCGCTGCCGCCACCTCGCGGGACGCAGCGCCAGCTTCTGCACCGGACCCGCCGCCGCCTCCGATGCGGTCAAGGCGGACGCTCCCCTTAGCAGGAACGTCGGCGGCATCAACGGCGGCCACACGCTTCCCTCTCGCCCTCGTGGACGACGAGGACGACACTTCTCCCAGCTCGGAGCTAATCGTCATCCTGGACGCCGAAAAGAACGACAGCTTCCCGGAGAACGTCCTCGCAAGAAGCGACTGCCATCTGCCCGGCCGGCCGAGCGGGGCGCTTCGGCCGCCGCGGCTGCTTCCTTCCCCGGCTCTTCGCCCGCGACGCAATTGCATGCTGTGGTGCTCGCCCGCGGCGACCATCTTCGTGCGCGCGTGCTCCGGCAACCGTAGCCTGAACCGCTCCAGGTCGCGGTCGAGCCGGACGGCGAGGGAGTGGCCCGTGGAGTGTGACCTGGCGAGCTACGTCGGAACTGGCTTGCGCCCCGACCGCGACCGCATGGCTCACCGCTGGGTCCCTATCTGCTGCAGCTCCAGCACCTCCTACATCCGCACCTCTTCCTCCTCCGCGGTGATCACATCGATCACCACGGCCACTGGTAGCGGTCCTTGCCCAGACACCGCAATCTCACTGGAGATGCTGCTCGCTACTGGAATCGATGGGAAACTGGCGGGCTCCTCATCGCTACTGGTATCCTGCTTGTTAGGGTCGAGGTTGCAGCGGCAGACGGGGCAGGTGACGTGGCTGGCGAGCCACTCGCCGATGCAGTCCGGGTGGAAGGCGTGGCTGCACTTGGGCAGGAGCCTGAGCCGCTCCTCGTCCTCGAACTCGCTGAGGCACACCGCGCACTCGAGCGCGCCGCCCTGCTTGCCGACCCGCAGCGCCTTGGCCTCGGCGTACTTCATGGTGGGGAAAGCCTCGACCACCTCGGCGTCGAGCCCGCGCGGCCGCCGCTGCCTCCGTGACCGCGAGATGAGGGCGTCGAAATTGGGCATGGCGCGGTCGTCGTCGTCCGACCTGGCCGCGTAGCCGGTGCAGTGGCGGAGGTAGACGGTGAAGAAGGCGATGAAGACGAACACCGCGATGACGGCGGCCAGGAGCGCGATCATGGCCGTGCTGACGTGAACCGGCTGGCCGTAGTCACCGTAGCTCGGCTGCGCGCTCGCCGCGGCGACCGCGGACGCGAGGAGCGCGGCGAGCAGCGCATGGCCGTGGCGAGGCATGGGCATCCTTTGCGCGCGGCAGCCGGCAGTGCAGACTGCAGAGGCGAGGGCCCGGGACACGAGAGCGGGTTGACTAGTCTGACTGCGCAGCATACAGTGTGGAGCCGGCTATATAGTGTTGGAACCGGTGGTGACCACCGAGTTCATGATCTTTGAGCTGGCTTGCAGCCGGCTCGGCTCGTTACGAGCCTGCGCTCCCATAGGTCCTAGGTCCACCGGAGCTGACAACATATAAGGTCTTGGACATTACTCAACCCAAAAGACTAGCCTGATAGGTGAGGATTCTTCCGCCTTATATGTTGTACTCCTCCATCATCGCTACACGATGTGGGACTAAACTCCAACATATAGAGGGGAAGGGAGTTTGAGCAAAAAAAAAAAAAAAAAAAAAAAGGGTCGCCATCCCGCGGCGCTCAGCGGGTATCACGGAAGGAAAGCCGCGGGCAGGTGTGCACTTTGTTTGGCATGCAGTTTGACTGGCCTACCATCCAGGGGTTCAGTTCAGAAGCCGCGACCGGGAAGGGCCGTTGGAGTTGGAACATTTTTGTGCACTCTGGAATCTGGATTCAACCGCGTGTATCTGCTTATCAGGAATCTACTAAGGTCCCGTTCGTTTTATCAGGAACGACTGGCAGGAAGAGTTCCTGGTCGGAATCGCTATTTAATTTGTATAAGCTTTCAGTAGATGGAAGGATTCCTGGCGTGGTTTTGCCTGAACCGAACAGGCCCTAAAGGGAGAATGCACATATCAGCTTCAGTTTGGCCACGGTTGACGGGTCAATGCTAAAGCTCATAATACAATCATCCTATCCACCTCCCGCTTTATTAGAAAAGCAATTACTCACTTGTATCTTAAGTCAGAGGCTTAAGTGTTTCTACCCTTATTTTAAATCAAAATGATGATTTCATCATCATTTTTTTAACTTTGTGATTTTGCCTCTGCGATTTCAAAACGAAGGGAGATTTTACCCTGATATGTGAAATCCCTCTAACGATGTTAACTTTTCGACAAATGGACAACTTTGCCAATGCGTTTGTACCCCCTGTTTTATTTTGATATTTGTGTTTTTACCCCTATTTTCATATCAACAAGTTGGCAGTTTTCATACATAATTTTTAGAAAAATTCGGCAGCATTTCATCTAAAAATGGTGAATATTTATGATACATGTAGCGCACGTCATTTGTTCATATTTATATTGAAAAAATGGTGATTTATTTCTTCCAACACAAATGCAATATCTTGACACACAAGATAGATAATTTAGGAGCTTTAATTTTCCAACAAAAATGGTGAATTTTGGAGCTTTATTTTTCCAATCTAGAGCATGATTCATCCCGAGTTTCCATGACCAATATTTTATCATAAATAACCATGACCAATATTGTTTAAATCCTTTTGGGTTTCTAATTTGTGAAATGGAGAGAGTGGAGGGAGAGTACGGAACGAGACTTGTAGCTGAACCTGGGTTCAGTGATTCAGTCAACACCTGCAGCAAGCAGCCTGCCTACTTCAGCTGCTCGTCTGGCCGTCTCAGAAGCATCCGCCTGGAGTAATCCTGCTGCTGCAATTGAGCCTTTCTCCCCCCCCCCTCTCTCTCTCTCTCTCTCTCTCTCTCTCTCTTCCGTCGCTGGCGTTCGCCGGCAAAATTCGTCGTCCTCAAGCTGCTACATCTCGATTCGTCTCAACCACACGAGCCAGGGAGGGCGTCGGGGCCGCGGCGGCTTCAGAGGCCCAGCTGCTGGTCGCCGGCCGCCGGGGCCGGACTGCAGTGAGTCCGCGCGGCTCCCAGCAACCCGCGCGGCGAGGTGGGGGAAGGGGAGCGCAACGTCGCCGGTCGCCGGCCGCCGGGGAGCCGCGTGCGCCGCCGCGTCAAACCCTAGCCGCTCGAGAGGGGCCGCGCGAGGTGAGTTCGCGGCCGGCCGACTAATGAGGGGCAGGGTTGTCTTTGTCTATTCGCTTGGGTGTTGTTTCTTTTTTCTTTGCCCTTTTAATTCACTCATCAGTTAGAAAGTAGGGTTAATCGGCTGCTTCGTTTGAAAATGACTAGGGCAAAATCACAAAGTTAAAAAAGTGAGAGCAAAATCATCGTTGCAGCTTGGAGCAAGGGCAGAAACACCAAATTCCCTTTAAGCTATAATATAGTCCACTTCAGTTTTGTTATAAATCATACTTCTCTAATTTTAACTATGTTATAAAAGTATTGTAACATCTAAAATTTCAAATAAATGCGCTGTCAAAATATGTTTGATAGATAATTCAATGAAACTACGAAACTAATTTGATGTTGTACATGGTGGTGGATTTTCCTTATAAGATGTGTAAGAAACAATTTCAATTTTCTCGAAACTTAGAATATTTCATGCATTCCAAACTCCGCTCGTTGCGAGGTGAATCTTTGCACAAGTTTCCCTACCGTGACGCTCAACGGATTAAAACGTATAATAAGCCTGTCCACTTATTCTCTAGAGTGGCCTTATAACTTTCTCCGTTACAAATTATAAGTCGTTTTGGCTTTTCTACGTACCTAGACACATTTAAAATGGAGAGAGTACTTGACAAATAAAGCGGTACATTTCTATGAAATGCATGGACTCTTGGAGTTGCCGAGTGGCGAAGTTTGAATAAATTAACGAAAGATATGTTTACTTTGTGGGTGCATAAACTTATTCATATGGTGCATATATAGTGAAATATAAGTTATAATCGTAGTTTTCGTATTTTTTAGGGTGTACATTTGCACCCCCACCCCCCCTAATGCTATTGTTAACACAGTTTTACCCCTGCTACATGCTACGTGGTGAAATAATAAATATTTTGGTATTCTATATGAGGCGATGCATCGTGATTTGTGAGTTTATCTCATAAATTTAAGTAGCCACTACATCATCCTATGTTTATACTAAATATTACTGCCTTCATTATAAATTATGTCATTATAGTTTTCTAAGTACCGCAGTTTTTTTTGATACGTACCTAGATATATATTATGTCTAAATACATAATAAAAGACATGTATCTAGAAAAGTCATGATGACTTTACAATTTAGAATTTGAAACGGAAGGAGAGCTCGGAAGGGATGCGTAGACGGTGGTTCACTCATCACATTCCCCTCCCATAAACAAATTGTTTTTAAAAAAAATGAAAAGATGATAGACCACCCTGTTTTTTTCAAACCAACCATCACATATTAACCGCGTGTAAAACCAAAGTAACCCGGTGACGGATCGACCAGGCGAGGTTCTGGAATTCCGGTATGGACAGGGCATCAGACTTCAAACCACTTGACTTCTCCTACGACATTGACGCGCTGTTCCGTCAACGTCAGTCGACACGGCAGGCTCGGCCGAAACCAACCGCCCATCACCCAGACGAAGGGTTCAGATCCGGTCTGGCCCCCTGCCACAGCAGACGAGATGACACAGTACAGATAGGGATCGGCGTCAGCTCAGTCCGGCCAGTGCAAGTAGTACTTGTACACGTCCCAGTCTACACGCTGTCCAGCTGCGCAATGAGCCAGCCTGCCGCTACTCGGCTACTGTACTCGCCAGTTGCCTAGTGGGCCAGTAGCCGCGTGCGCAGCCGAACCGAGCCGAGACGGCGAGCGAAGGGCCAGCCACACTTCTGCTCGCGCGGACCTGGTAAACAACCCGTCTGGGACACGGACCGCGACTCCGCGAGAGGGACTCCCCGTGGGCGGGCGCGCGCATGCACGGACCACTTGTCGTTGGCCGTGGGGGGTCCCCAGCCGACGTGCGTCCCGTCGGCACCACTGGCTCGCCGGGCCCTCGTCCCGGCGTGCCGCCTCGACGGTTTCACGCGCAACAGCGACCTAGCGCGGTGCCAGGTGCACGGTTTGAGGAGTGCAAGGCAGCGGCTCCGGGCACTGGGCGGTGCAACGGACAAACGGGAGAACTGTGGCCCCAAGAGCGACGAGGTGTTACGTGTCGCGAGGAGGTAGGTATACATGCAGATCGGTGAGTTATGAAGTGTTTTTACTTTTTGTACAATTGTAGTACTACGCCACTACAGTACTTCCAAGCATAGTATGTGATATGTTGTCTCGATTCCACGTCGGATCCCTCAGGTTCGGCGTCTCCGGAGAATGCTGCGGTTGACCTGGACGCGGGGGATCACGTTACGTGCGCGGAGAGTTTACTGACGGATTCTCCAATAATCTGGCGCGCTCATTGAACTTTTATCATCTGCTAAACGAGCGATGAGCAGATTGACGGCGACTGGTGACATAGTATCAAATGAATCTAGAGATTCTAGGACTTGGAAGGACGACCACAGGCATCATCCAGGACTCGTAAGCGAGTACTCTTGTCACTTTTTACGCCCATCCAGCTGGGGCTGTCTCGGCAGCGAGCACCGGCCTTTTTTCTCTATTACTAGCTACTACTAGCGTACATAGCCATACATTGCCACAGCTACCACATGCGGAGCCTAAAAGAAATTTGTTAAAATTTAGTTGCCAACCAAACACTTGCCAACTTAATCAAACTTGCCTAAGATAAAAGTGTGTCAAACTATGGTGAGATAGTGTAGCAGTTGTCTAAGATAAACTTGCCTCACTGATCGCACTAGCAGCGAAGGTTTAGCTAGCGCTTTAGCAAACTTTTTTTTTGAACCACATTATTATAATTTATTGTCTATATAAACCGTGCCATTTTATTCGTCCTCATTGGCTTCTCCTAAGCCTCATCCTTCTCCTTCCTCTACATATCCCTCATCCCGCATTTTGTCGTCGGACCCTCCTCCGCAACCAATATCGTTACCGCCGCTGCAAGCAAAATCCCTCGTGGCGGCGCCTCCTCAAGCTCCTCGCCCACAGTGACAGCATCATCATCGTCGGCAACTTCATGGGCCACAAAGACAACGTTACACCCCCAACTCAGCAACTGTAGGGTCGAGATGGCGGCTAGAGAGGGGTGAATAGTCGCTTCTAAAACTTAATCACGTCGGCTAACCGAAAGTGCGGAATTAGAACTATCGG